TAAATTCAATGTTTTGGTACTTATTTTTTGGTATAAATTTTAGTATAGAGGCTTATATCCTATTCTAGTCAGATGCCATGAGAAAATTCTGATATAAAACCTCTTGCCAAGAAAAAGGTGAGTTACATGATGGAGACAACGTAGCAAGCTCTTCCTGAGTGAGCATCCTGTTCAGCAGTTTGCAATTAACTTTAGCAGACAGGATCCATGAAATGTGCAAAATCAGAATAGACTTTACTGTAATACATAAGAAAATTATCCTTTCTGAACTATTGATTATATAATTTATATGTAAACGAGTTTATTAGGTATTTCATATTAAAAGAATCTTCCCCACGTGTATAAAACATGTACCCAAATGTTGAGGAAAGAGAGCTGTACACACTTGTGTATTTAGCTGAAACAGCTTTGGGAAAGGGGGAATTTTTGCGAGTGCTCCTGTTGCAGAATTTTGCTTGCTATTTTGGATGCATAAACTTCAACCTTGGTGAGTTCGTAGGCTTGAAAGAGATAAAATCATAGTCGTGAGTTAAATTTGATTTGAAAACAGTGAGAGAGCATAGGATGGGGCATTGTGTTACTGATTACATGTAAATCGTAATAGACAGGCTATTTTTTACAGACACTTTGTCAATAATTATTCTTAACTTAAACCGATAAAAATATTTTCTATTTAACTTATTTTAATATTGACCTTATGTGAATTCATAGTAAGCTACCTACTGAATAGTTTAGGCTGGTTTTAGTTTGACAGCAGTCTCATTGAAACAAAGTTATTGCTGTGAGGTTTACTGTGTCATCAGTTTACGGATGACATGCATGTATGATTGCAAGCACACTTCCATGGGTCATTAGTACTAGCACTAGAATAAAGTGCTTTGTGGACTTTTTCTCTCGGAATTATTCAGTTGATACATCATCCCCTTGCTAAGTTTAAGGTGATATAAATAACCATACATTTAGGGGCAAACTCATTTCATCTGAGTTTTATCCTTACAGTTCATTTTCAACTGCAGCTTTTTGTAAGGCTTAAACCTCCAGATTAGCTGCAGTCTTTCAAAATGCGCATCATTCACTAGAGGATCAAGCTGTCCATGCTTGAACCAAACAGATTCATTCAAAGACAGCACCTCTTATCTCTTTCACAGAGAAGTTTTAGAAATAATTATTAAAGAATGTGAATTCCCCTTTCCCATCTGCTTTGGTTCATCTAGTGTTAGTGGATGTTACCAATAGACCACTCAAAGTCTTTGCATTTATCACACGCTGGGGAGGTTTGCACACTGGTGCATTGTGCACTGTAATTTCTCCTTACTATGTAGAGTTGTTTTGGCTGACTGGCTCTTTATGCTAATGGTTTTATGGAAACGGCAGGAATAGTGGTTTTCACTTGCAAACAGTGAGACAAATAATGGTTGTATGCTCAGCCCCTGAAAGCAAGATACTGTGAGTGCCTGGAAATAAGGTTATGCAAACCTACCAGCTGCAGCCCTGATATCGTCCAGTCCTTTTATGTGTTTTGTTCATATCAGTTTTCAGAGCTCTTTTTTTACGCTATTCTGGAATACCCATCTGTTGGCAGTCAGGTGAAGACCCTGGTGACTTAAAAAATTGAATTATACCCATCTTTAAAAAGGATACAAAGCAGGACCCTTGGAACTACCAATCTGTCAGCCTCACCACTGTGCCTGGGAAGTTCATGGAACACATCCTCCTCTGAGCTATGCTAAGGCACATGAAGAACAGGGAGGTGATAAAAGACAGCACGGCTTCAACAAGGGCAAGTCCCACCTGACCAAACAAATGACCTTCTGTGATGTAGTGGCTGCGTCAGTGGACAAGGCAAGAGCCATGGGTGTATTATATCTGGACTTTTGTAAGACCTTTGACACAGTCACCCCCAATATCCTTCTCCTTCTGGAGAGAGAAGGATTTGGCAGGTGGACTGTTTGGAGGATGAAGAATTGTATGGATTGCATCCAGAGAGTAGTGGTCAGTAGCTCAAAGTACGGGTGTAGATAGGTGACAAATGGTGTCCCTCATAGGGTACATATTGAGACCAGCACTGTTTAATATCTTCATTAATGACATGGATGAAGGGATTGAGTGCACCCTCAACAAGTGTGCAGACAACACCAAGCTGAGTGGTGCAGTTGACATGCCTAAAGGTTGGGATGCCATCCAGAGGGACCTGGACAAGCTTGAGAAATGGACCCATGGGAACTGTCTGATGCTCAACAAGGCCAAGTGCAGGGTCCTGCACCAGGGCTGGGGCAACTCCCGGTGTCAATACAGGCCTGGAGAGGAAGGGTTTGAGAGCATCCCTGCGGAGAAAGACTTGGGGATGCTGATGGATGAAAAGCTGGACATGAGCCAGCATTGTACACTCACGGCTCAGAAGGCCAATCATATCCTGGGCTGCATCAAAAACAGCATAGGAGGAGATTTTACCCTCTAATCCATTCTTGTGAGATCCCACCTGGAGTACTGCATCCAGCTCTGGGGTCCTCAGCAGAAAACGGACATGGCCTGTTGGAGTGGGTCCCAAGGAGGGCTACAAAAGTGATCAGAGGGATGCAACACCCTTGCTATGAGGAAAAGCTAAGAGAGTTCAAGGTCAGATTAAACAACCCAGTCTAGCTGAAGATGTCCCTGCTAATTGCAGTGAGGGTTGGGCAAGATGACCTTTAAAGATTCCTCCCAACCTGAACTATTGTATAATTCTATGGAAATCACATAAAATGACATGCATATAGGAATTTAATAGCAGATCTGTTTGTGTCTTGAAAACTGTAGAATGTTGGAAAGAATTAATTTGCCATCATGATAGGGAAAACTGTTATTTTCATTTAATTTTTGGTTTTTTTGTATTTGAACCACACAAAGCAGTTAATGCACTGAAGTTTCTGAAAATTATTATTTGATCCCTTCCATGTAATAATTCCTTTAGCTTTTACAATTGGAAGCCACTTCTATTTCGTAGCTAAATTGTTCAAGCAAACTCTCCACTTTTTTTTTTTTTTGTTAAGTTATATTCTCTGAAGGGAATTCTTTAAAGTGGTGTGGGCTGTAGCAAATGCAGAACTTCATTCTTAATGATTTTCTTCTTTCACAGAAAATACATTGAAGCCGTAGTATTTTTGTTCTATTATTTGATGTCTCAGCAACTTAGATGTGTCTTAACCATTATATTGGTTTGGAGATAGAGGTGTTATTGCTGACTTTGATGTTTCTCAGATTTCTTTTTGAAACGTGGCAATGGGTAACTTGGTCATCTCATTAACTTCAGACACAGTACTGAGGAAAGGTTTTTCTTCCTCCATCCATTTTTCAAAAAAGTTCGTAGGGATGTGGAAGAGTGAGGAAGGTAGCTGGATGGAACAGAGCTGAGGAAGATCCTCTCCTTCCTTGTCCAACTGCTTCTCTTTGGATAGGAGTAACAGCTGTGGGAACTGCTGGAAGTGGATCAGAGGGACATGTCTTGCAGTTTCAGCAATATGATCTAAAATTATCCTCTTCTAATTGCAAATAGATCTGACATTTATAATTATTAAGCTTCATTTTATTACTTTTCATCTAGATCCCTAAATCCATTTAGTAAGTTGTGATTAATTTTCAGAGTTCCCTGCAGTCAGTAATTAAAAAGAAACTTTATATCCATGTAATAGACAGGAGTGTGCTTTAAGACTGCTTGTGAGTCTTAACAAGGCCACTTAGCAGGGCTACTTATAAGCCTTAGCAAGAGTAAAAATTTTATTTAGCAACTTTCCAAGAATACTGCAGAAATAATGTCATGATTTAAACACATCTTTCCACATGCATCTTTGCTCTTGAGGGGAACCTCTTATTCCAGTGAGATGATAAAGGTTGTGACCAGGTTTTTACGTTTGCTAGGATGTCTTTCTTAAGTTTCTAGAAACAAAAAATGGTTTTTAGCACTGGAAGTGGGTAAAATAAATGTCAATAATGAGAATGTATGAGAAGAAGCTGCCCTGGACCTCACTGTAACAGTTGCAATACCATGTTACACAACTTTTATGTAACTCCTGGCTGTACTCTCTAATAAAAATTATCCTCCAAGCTTTATTTTAATTTTATAAGCTGTGCATATGTATAATACACAATGTACTTTTATTCATATGCCAAAGATCTGCAGCCAAATAATTTACTATCAGCATAAGACTATTTTAATAATTTAATCCCTTAATCTCCTATAGTATTTTCTCCTGCACAAACTCTGCTTGTGTCTGTCTTGCCAACTTTGTGGTTGTCTGGGAATTGCTATGCACGCAACCTGATTTCTACGTAAAAATACAATTTATTTTTAAAAATAGTTGCTTCTTTGTAAAAATAGTTGTTTCTTTAATAGTTGAAGTGTAATGTACTCCTACAGTTATAGGCTGATGGAAAGAAATATAGTTAATTTGCCATTTTTAAGAGAAAATGTGTCATTTTTCTGTTCTGCTTGAGTTTTTTGAAATTAGGGTGGAGATAAGGAGCATTATTACTATAAAAGATTTTACGTCATTAAGATTTACGAATTTAATCAGGCATATACAGTCTACTTTATCCAGGTTATCAGATCTATTGCCCATAATCTCTTATTTTTCACTAAGCAACGTGGGAGCTTGGAGGACTGAGGCGTTCCACACCCACATGTGTCTTTGTCAGCCTGGAAGAGAAGGACATGTGCACTAGAATTACCAGCAACCTCAGTGAGGTTTTTTCCCTTTAGCTTTCAGCCTGTGTGTCTCCACCCATGACTTCCTACATAAACTAATGTTTTCTGGTAGGACACATCAGTTATTAGGAAAATAAATTTAAAACAATTTGAAAAAGACCTGTTAAGGATCTTGGAACAATTAAATATGGAAGAGCATTTCAAAGGTATTTGACATTTTGTATGCTACCAGCGTTGATTTAATTGATCAGTGTTGTTGTGATATGTTGTTATAATTTGAATTATTCTTTACTATAACCTTTTTTTTTCTTTACTGCAGGTTTAAGATTTTTAAGAGCCCTTAGACTGATACAGTTTTCAGAAATTTTGCAGTTTCTGAATATACTTAAAACAAGGTAAGACTTTTTCTTATGTACCGAGTTAATTGCATTGGTAACAGAGCATAAATAGCTTAAATTTGGGATCCTAGTAATATATGATTTTCTTTCCTGGAAAAAAAAACTCCAATTGCTATCTGTTCTTTAAACCTTTTTCTGCCAATGACTGATTTATCAGTGAGCATCTTTTGCTATGTGATCAGTAGATTTTGATGTGTTGTTACATTTGAAATATCTAACAAGTTTGTGTGTTGATAAATTAAAACCAGAATGAATTACATAGCTTTGCACTGATTAAACATTGTTTCTTTCCATATAATCAGTCCATGTTCTGCTCTCCTGGAAAAACAGAAATCAAAATTCGTTCAACAGAATACAGTTAAAAAGTATCTTGACAAATTATCATTGTACTCTATTTCAGTTTTTTTTAACTGAGCATCCTTTTTCACATCAAAAACATATTAGAAATTACACTGAGCTTTCTTTAGATTGTATTCATTGTCCTTAGTATTTCTTTCATATAATAATTAAAATAGTCCAGTTAACCTTCTGATTTACTGGTTCTTTGGGCTGTTAGTACGTGTAAGTTGTACAGAAGAATCACAGTTTTGGACAAAAGATCACTTTGAAGGAAATAAAAAGAAACCTTCCCATGCCTTGCAGTTGAACATGTTGCTTTTCATCATTTTCTAAAATGCCCTGGGGGAAGTATTGAACCCAACTTCCAATAATTACTCTAAACTCAGTTCCATTCTGAAATCCTCTGCTCTCTGCAGCAGTTGATATTGATGTGAGGGTTTTATATGCAGGTAACTCCATTTCTTGCTGTGATAATTAATAGTAGTGATTAAGTAGGTCCTGAGATTTGTACACAGTCATGGTAAACAGCTGTTTCTTCAACCCTTAACCTTGAAACTATTTCCTTTGCTGCAAAACTCTCACATTATCTGCCTTTAGCTGTGTTACTGTAAGGAATCCACTTCTTGTCAAATAAAGACACCAAAGAATGTGCAGTGAAGTCCCACAGCTTAGAATACCACTGGGATGGTAAAGGAGAACAATTTGTGGAGGAGCTTAGAATATCTGATGAGTTTACATTTAACACACAAAGAAACCTTGCCATAAGAAATGTCAATCAATGGAGAAGCCCCATAAACTCAAAGGATTTTGGATAAAAGCTAATAGCCCCTTCAGCAGTTGGGGATTTGTGAAATTCCGGATCCGTAAATGAAGGGATACTGCATTAATCACATTCAGTGTATTCAGAGCTGGTTTATTCAAGATTGACCTGTTCGTTGAAAATAGCATTTTTCTGGTGCAAAATTTACTCTGCTATTAGACATAGATATCATATTCTCTGTAATTATTTATGTCACCATCCAAATATCTGTAAAACTCAAAAGCTGATTATTGAAAGACTGTAAAGGAAAGTTTTCTTGTATGAGTGTTTTAGTTCAGTTAGCTAATTAATCCTTAGCAGTTCATCATTAGCACCATTTATTTAACTTAAAAACTTCCTCAAAACAGTTGTTTTTCTTGGTTCTGCAACAGAAAGTCATGTCTGTTCTCTCCTGTATTTTACTTAATAACCTGAAATTACCTAAATAATTTGGAATGCTATTCATGTTCACAAAACATATTTTTGTAAAATTGGTATGTCAAGTTAAAACAAATGAACAGAATGTTATTTATTTTAGGAAACTTTTTATTTGCACCTGAAAAAAGGCATGCTGAGCCCTTGTGGTTAATGGAGAATCTTTAGTAATTTTGCAAGAGTTAGGGCAGTTAAACTAGTAGCCTCAACAAATCTAATTTTATTTAAATAAAATTTACTTCCCTAAATTCAAGCAATGGTTCATTTATATACCATGACCTTAAACCATTATTATTAATTTAAAATCTTATACTGTATTGTATGCTTTTGCCCAGCTACTGCAACATTATTTTGCTCGGGGATGGTTAAAAAGCTTCTAGAATTAAAACATTGTAGCATTTTTTGCAATCCACTTTTAAGCTTTTAATGACATTTCCAATATTGTAATTTGTTTGTGAACATAAAGACCAAGGATTAATGACAGAATTTGAATTGTTGAACTGGAATAGCAAATTCAGTATATCATTACTAGCTCTGAAGTTATAGCATAGGGGAAAAAAGAAACCCAATACTTTTTAAATTCTGCAAAGCATAGTAGTTCTCTGTTTGAGGTGATATTTGTTTATATGAAAAAAATATGGAACCAGTTCAACTAGAGGCATTTTAATGTGTTTGGCATTAATAACATGTAACAACTAACAAGATGAGAAACTGATAGGACGTAATGGGCACTGCTGTTTTTAATATTTAGTGCAATTGGAGGAGAAATTCTCTCTTCCTTTTCCTCTTTTCCCCAGTAAAGATAAAACTTTATTCTAACCCATAAATTAAAATTACTGCTAGAATTAGTGACTGAGATATGCTGATTAAAGGAATATGTATTATTTATGCAGTGAGGAGTACCATTCCAAAAACTGGAATCCAAAGGAAGAAGCTAAACAATGCAGAAATTGAGGCAGTAAGGAGACTAACAAAGTGTTAGATAATGATTAGACTATCTGAAAAATTGCTAAATGTGTTTGAAAAAATTCCGTAAGACAAAACAAAATTTTACAGTGTCGTAATAGAACACCATACTCTGCCAAGGACTTGTTTGTTTCCCTAATTTGAAATGAAATGTCTTTTACTCAATATTTTTTGTTCTCATGTTTGATGAAGTTGATTTGTGCAGTTTTCAGTTGAAAATTTCTCTCCTTCATTGTTTTCTAATATTATTTTTCAACAAAACCTCAGAGGCTTAGGCAGGGCTCACAGTAAGGGATTTTGCACAGATGTTGGAAAGAGCTTAAAGAGAGGGAAAATGTTTGTGACTAATCCTCCATCTATATTTAGACTCTGGCGGAAGCACAGGGAGTATTTCATAGAGGAGAGACAAGGTACAGTGTTTAATAAATCTGCAGAAATAAGTGTACCAAACAAGTAATGTAGTTATTAGTAGGTGCTGTCATTTACTTGTATTGCAGTAATATGTGGACTGACACATTATTCTGTTAGGAACATCTCCTAAGTTCAGGTGAAAGATGGTCATTGGCCTTTAATGATGGAGCTTTGCATTAGCATGACTTCTATGATTTTACTTAATATACAAACCTATTGGTTTGGGTCCTGTGCTATAACTGAATGTTAACACCAACAAAATAGGAACTTTAATCAAACCATACCTTAAGAAAGAGAGAAAGAGGTAATATGTGTTGAGGTAGGTGAGCACTGATTAATGGTAGGATAGCCAGTATGTTATTTTATTTTTGAGCATAATATTTATTACCACATCTTTCATATTAACCAGTTATATTCTTTTCCTTGTGCCTCAAGATGCCCACTTCACTAACTGTAACTCTTAAAATTATTTTTAATGAAGTTGGTCTGATTAATTTTCCAAGTTCTTTTCTCAATATTTTAAAGAAAATAATGCATTTTTATTCTCCCTAAAATAGTTATAAATAGAAATATTAGTTAATTGTACTGCAAAACTACTACTGCTAACACTGATAGTGATTGTTTTCCAATTTTTATCTTTTTTGAATTTATTGCCTTAGGAATAATTGAGGGTTTTTCCTGAGGTATTATACCTTCTCATAAATCTTTTCAAAACAGAGAACTATTTCCAGTACGATTCCATGAATGGGTAAAATTGTTCAAACACAGTCATACACGGACTGCAGTTCCTTGTGGATGTGTTGAATATCCTTCTTAGGACAGTGATTTTTGTGAGAAGAGAGGGAGCAAGTTTTACTTATATTTCTTCCAGAAGATTTTAAGTATGGTGTTTTCCTCCTGAACTGAATGAGGTCCTTGCTTCAAAATCACTTTTGGCTACGATAGGGAACATACTACTCAATGGGACTAAAAAAATATTTGCAGAGTTTGATTGGTAGGTTTAAATATCACTTTTTTCATTGTTTAAATTTTACTTTTTCTCATTTTTTAAAAGAAAAATGTGAATATGAACAATTAAATGCTCCAATTTAGTGTGAATTTCCATAAAGTAGTCCATAGGAGTTCATACCAGCAGAATAATATGAAAATTACATAGGACTTCACACGAGAACTGTAAAATGCCTTAGATATTTAATTTGGGAATCATAATTTTCTCATGTGCTTTTATGTATTTATATGTGAATAACTTGGAGGTGTACAACAATAAAAAATAAGGAGGTAAGTGTACTGAGGGGCAACCAAATTATCTGTGAAAAAGCATTATTTCTATTAGTTTGTTTATGAGTACAGAGGTAGCCATACCCACTGCTCTCATACATGGGAACTTCCTTTTCAAGCTATCTAAATGATGAAAATGTGAACTCTGCAAAGACAAAATAATATATATTTTGCGTGAGCTTTTGATTAAGTTTTTTTAGGGAGTCTGTTTCTCTTAATAATCAGATTCTTTAGTCTGAAATATGCAGTTTTATACAGGTATGTGCAGAAAATGTGACAAATTCTAGTCTAAGTTCCTATTTGTTTTGTTTGTTTTCAGTAATTCCATCAAGCTAGTGAATCTGTGCTCTATATTTATCAGCACGTGGCTGACAGCAGCTGGGTTCATACATTTGGTAAGTATATTTGAAAGTACTTCATTGACTTTTTATCATGGATCTTCTGCTCTCTGAGCTACTTTATTTCCTGCAATTGCCTTGCTCTGTATAATCCCTTAACACATCAACAGAGGACAATAAAAAGGCGTCACAGCTTCCCAGATTTTAAGCTTCTACTCAAAACTAATTCAGAGTAGTAAGACAGACATCATTAACCTCAGCAATAAAGCAGACTTGGAGTGGTGCAACTTGTGAAACGATGAGGATTTACCAGGAGGTGGCAGTGCTTCCCAAAGAACTCCGGCGAGTGCTTCCTGGGGGCGGTTGGCAGAGTTGGAGCGAGAGAGAGGTCCTGGGAAATCCGTGGTTGTGTCAGAGGCACACAGTTCTGTATTTCCACGAGAAGTAATGGGATTGCTAACATTCTGGATAGCGATTTGTTTAGAGATTATTTCCTTGTCTTTTGTTTTTAAATTTCAAATTGTTTAGGTGTAGCTTTCAGTCAGTGACAACACAGTTTTTTTGTAGTAGATTTCTATTCAGCACTTAACAATACCTGAAAAATGTAAGATAGTATAGAACTACTTCTAATGTGTCATAAATGTGAATATGCATATGAACGATAGGTATATGTCAAGTGAGTGTTTTAAACTAATAGATTTTACTGATTTGTTTGGTAAATATAATAGAATATGATTAAGTGGTTGTCCTTTAAGTACATTTTATGATCAACTTAGAATCAGGAAAATTTTGAGCTGCTAGTAGTAATAAGTTATTCAGGAACGTTTTGGACTAGTAATAAAATTTAATGATATTGATATCAGTCTGGAGCAATTTCATTGACTTCACTTGAATTAACTTGAGCTGCATCCAGCTGTGTAAGATTAAATTCAAAATATTTATTTTCTTGATAAATCTGTCGTTTAATTTTCACTCTTATAAAGATGCTCCGAGATTTTGGATGTTTTCATTTCTGATATATTTCTCATTCACATAGGACCATATTGTTACACTCCTCTGAGCAAATACACAGAAACAATTGCTTTTTCTATTTTTGAACACAAAACCACAACCCCCTCCCCCTTTAAAAGTTACATCAAGACTGAGGGAGTGCTATTTTCTAGGATTTGGATTTTTTTTCCCCCTTTACTTTTCAGCATAAGTTTCTTTATTCTACTGTAGGAATACTCAAACTTCAACTTTTTACTGTGAAACAAATTTTAAAGGGCATACTCTTTTCCCACTGATAAATTTATAATTTTGTGGCAACAGCAGCTGGCTTTTTGAAAAGGTAGTAGCATATCACTAAACATGTCAGTAATGCCTAATAGCTACATAGTCCTTTAAAACAAAAACATTAAGGAGTATAATTGCATTACACATAAGTTTCACTCTGGAAATGTTTTAAAGAGATTTTTTTAAAATGAACTCACCTAACCACATTAGTAGGTTATTTAGTGGTGAATGGAAAAGATGCTTTCCATAAATAGTATGAGTGGAAAGGCTATGTATATTGGCAAAAGAATTGTAGTGCTATGTTTGGGACAGGGTCAGGTTCTGTATTTGTTCAAAATAAATCACAGAAAGGGATTCAGAGTTTATATTATATGCCATATTATGTGTATATATACACACACATGCATATATGGTTAGATTTAATTTGGCAAACAATTCTATTAATTCATTTTATGTTTTCTTTTACATTTAGGTGGAGAACTCAGGGGATCCATGGGAAAACTTCCAAAATAATCAACCGCTAACATATTGGGAATGTGTTTATTTACTGATGGTTACAATGTCCACTGTTGGCTATGGAGATGTTTATGCAAAAACAACCCTTGGTCGCCTTTTCATGGTCTTCTTCATTCTTGGGGGATTGGTAAAAACTCTTCTTTTTTAATTCTTCCTATCATTCCAGCTACCTTAGTACCTGATCTGGCACGTAGGTATACCTCAATGTTGTAATTAAGTAAAACTAAAATTAATTATAAAACATTCAAATATGTTTAATATGCCCCTTTTTCGTGGAGATAAATATTTTGGCAAAACTTGTCAAATTAGTCCAGTTTAGTCAGAATTTTTCTAATTCCTTTAAATGAGTAATGCATGTGAATACATGAAGTGCCTTAATATTTCAACTTATAACATTATTTGTAGTCCTCTGTGTTTTAGTGGCTGACTGTAGTGCATTTTTTGGAGGCTGATATTGATATTTAAAGACACTTTGCGGTTTCAGATGTCCTACCCACCCTTCTGTGTTCCTTCCCAGAATTCCAACAAACACTGTGGCTTTGGACTGCCTTAAAGAGCAGCTTGCCTGATCTAGATGATGGCAAACCACATTCTCTTTAGTTTCAAACATCTTTTCATGTCATGTAGTGCAATTTTAACTCACAATTTATCACATGACAATAATCAGAATCCTTTTATAGGATTCTTGTGTTCTTTGTCCTGTATGTAAATAGCATCCAAGTTGTCTTATGTCAACTTTTCTACTATGTGTCAGCATTAGTAATATTATAGGAACTGTAGCAATATTGTTCTCTAAACCAGCAAAGTTTATTTTAATATTTACATATTTCAAGGTAAGTGCTTTATGGATGACTAATATAGATTGTGCACATACATACATATGTATATTGTTACCCTCTCATATTGATTTCACATATACATACATCTTACAGAGGTGATATGTATATAACTACTGTTATGAATGCCATATATGAGACACACAGATATATATATATGAGCATTAAATATATGCATTCCTATCTCTGATCATTGACATCCAAAGACAAAGATCATGTCAAATGGCAGTAGCTCTTCGAAGTATCCAGCCACAAGGAAGATGTTTGTTGGACAAAACATGGCAGAATATTTTTTATTTTCTCCTCAAAACCTTTTTTCTATCACGTGTTATTCCAATCCTTCTAAACCCAACAACTTTTGGAAAAGTTTTTTTTTTGGGGGGCGGGGGAGTGATTTTTTTGTTTCTTGATGGGGAAATAACCCCTGATTCCATCTTGGTATTGTCTTCTTTTAAATTCTAATACTGGGGGGAAAAGTCTGTATTTTAAAACAGAAATGTAACAGTAATGATAATACTTGGGTTTGGATTTTTTTTTTGCAGTGGGGCTTGGATAGCTTTTTTACCCTCCCTTCTTCAGGAAGAAATAGACATAACTGCTTTTTGTGATTAGATACCAGTTTGAATTAATTTTGTTCTTGTTTTGTTTTGTGTGTCTATTTTTCCTCTTTTGACCATTTTCTTTATTTATAAGGCGTGCACCTTCTCCAAGACCCACTTTTACATTGAGCCCTCTTGTTTTGTTTGATAAGAACTTTTACATTTTTTAAATTTTCTTTTTAAACAACTGCATAGATCTAATTCTTTTGCATTTTTAGATCTTAAAAATATATATCTTCTGAAAATATTCATCATCCCCCTTTCTTTGGCCTCTCTTTTTAGTCTTTTCTTCTGTCTCCTATCTTCTTCTTAGGCCATGTTTGCCAGCTACGTCCCTGAAATCATAGAGTTAATAGGAAACCGCAAGAAATATGGTGGTTCCTATAGTGCGGTTAGTGGAAGAAAGTAAGTATCCCAAGAGGCTCTGCTGCCTCTGCTGCAGTAGAACACTCTCTGCATGCCATTTTCTTTTTTTTTTGTGTTTTTGTTTCATGCATGTAGGCAATGTTTGCTCGCTACGTGCCAGAAATTGCTGCTCTCATCCTTAATCGGAAGAAATACGGCGGAACTTTTAACTCAACTCGAGGCAGAAAGTAAGTCAAAAAAGACCAGGTGTGGTTGTGTGACTTTAAAGAGCCCCTGAAGGTGGTAATAGCTGATTCACAGCTTATAAGGCTGTATTCTTTGACATCAGATGTTACCACTGGAGAGTTGTCACACTATAATTAGAGACCTGGGCTATGCTATGGTACAAGTCACAACATTTTGTCCCTACTTCCAGAGAACCTGGATACCACTAAGACTGCACTAACATATCTTGTAAAAAGTGCTGCTGTTACATAGGCAGTTAGCTTCTGGAACAAGGTTGAGTTGTCACTTAACTGTTTTGGGCATCAGATTATCATGTGGTTTATCTCTTAACTAAATGCAATGATAATTCACATGATTTTCAGTTCTTTAGAAGAATTGGTTTTACTGGAGTGTAAAATAGGAGATTTAAGTTGACCGATTTATTCTGTTGAACTGACTGTGTAAGAAGTCTAATTGCCCTGCTCAATGTTCCATCAGCAGATTCTCATGGATCTTCTTTTCACTTCCTATGGATATTGCAAACACTCATGATTTTAGGATCTATGACCAGGGATTTTAAAGCAATTCTCCTCCACACACTGTAAAAAACTTACCTAAGAAGAGCAGACAATAGCCTTAATATAAACATAGTTTGATAAAAAACCAAACCCTTAAAACCCACTGGTTTGACCTGGTGGCAAAGGTTAAATTTTATTGGACCACATTAGCTCATTATGTTTCTATTGAAAACCTCTTTGTTTTCATGACCAAGTTAAAACCAGCTCTTTCTGGCATTCCCAGCATCTAGACCTGCTGGGATATAGCCATTACTGAACTAGATGTACTTGGTGATATAGTGTGAACTAGCACAGTATCACCTTTAATGTTGCCATCTTTCATTTCATTACATATCATTGTGACATTCAGTGGTAGAGATACGTTTGCCCTGAAAGACTAGTCATACAGAGGGCCCTTTTCATGTAAAATAAAGAAGGTACCGCAAGAAATGTGTCTAATTACTTTTCCCTTTCCTTACTTTAAGAAAATTTTTTACTTTGTTTCTTTCATGACCATCACCCTGAAACATTTTATTAAAGTGGTTTATGGTTTAATCAAGTTGTTTCTCCTCTCTGTGTAGCAGAGACTGTAAATGGCCCACAGAGATAATTCTAGAGTACTGTTTTACATCACTGGGTAGATAAAGTTTTAGAATTAGAGCACTATTGTCTGTTCAATAATATTCAAGCAATTAGACAGTAGACTTCAATACTTGCATTTTTTGAGATACCCTCAAATGTCTAGGGTAAACTGTAAACACGTGTTGGAAACTTCCATCACTTACCTAGACTAATAAAATACCTTGATTTATTTCTGAGAAAGAATAGTATCATGAATTTCCAAAAATGTTTTTTTGTGGCATAGTTTCACAGACTCAGTTTCATATTTGTAATGCTTGGTTTCTCAAAGAGTAGGTGTTTCAAATAGAGAACATATACCTCTGTTTTTGAAGCTCCAAAGGAGTTATAGCAGAGGGGTATATGGTTAAAAACTATTTTACATACAGTTTTAGTCTCTCCCCTTCTACATTGTCACTAGTACCCAGCATTGCTCAGATGTCTCTAAATTTTTACCTGATCTTCAGTCAGAACCCCACATCCTGAAAAACTCAGCATCAGATTACAGGCTTCTGCTAGCTTTGGGGCTTGCTTAATTTTATTTTTTCACCTTTTGTTTTTGTCTTTCTTTATTTGCACTATCTGTTTGTTTTTATCTCACTCTGTTGTCAGTGCTTTCTCTGCTGATCTGTACTGCTCATATAATTTGTTGTTTGAAACTCAGCTCTGTCACCAACATACAAACTGTTCAATTTACTTTGTGCATTGTTTTCCAGCTCAAATATTAATTACGAAGTAGTTTAAAGATGTCCTTTGCTCATGTGGGTCTTTCATCAGAAAATCTAAGCTTGGGAACTGCACAGTAAAAAGCCATTAGCACCCCTTGTTTGATGTTGCTTTTGCAGTCAGTAGAACAAGATTGATGAAATGTTATGTTTGGCCAAAATTTAAGTTTTCATTTGGAATTCAGTGTTGAGAGAATGGATTGTCAGAACCAATAAGTTTTCCTTTGCATGGGATACAGGCATGTGGTAGTAATTAGCAATATAAGGTCTTTAGTTGAGCAACCAAGCATAGATTCTGGCAGTAAACATAATGAGAAACTACAGGTTTTCTATTTCTATTGTCAGAAAGTTTCCAGATAAAATTAAATACATGTACAATGTGAAAACAGCTGAATTTTGGTGAAAGATATAGTTTCACCCCTTAAAATAACAAATGTGTATATTTTTAAACTTTCTACAAAATAGAAAAATACATGGAATCTGCTTTGTAGCATTTATATATTTGTTTATACATGCTGCCTTGTGAACTCCGTGTGTGTGGAATAACATGTTTCTCTATGGTTACTAAACATTAGGTCGTATGTTAAAATCAACAGATGATTACGTGTGTTTTGAGGATTGCACTGCGTGACTTTAATACTAAGGAGAGCCTTTCTATGGAATTGTAACTGTCAAAGCAGCTAGTATGAGTGCATAAGAATTCTTGATACAAACTCCACTTGGAAGAGAAATAACCAACACACCAATAAGTTTGATCTCACATTTCATTTTGCTTTTCAGCCCATAAAGTCCCCAACGGTCTCATAAACAATATAGGATGCATTTGGCACAATAAAGAATCTTATTTCTCTCTTAGATGAGACACATACATACAGATTTTGGAAACAGAAGTAGTTTGTGGGCAGTATGCAGTTATCACTGGTTAAATCTACTAGATACTAGGTTAGTTTTGTTGTGAAAGTCCACAGGGAATTTTTTAAATTTTAAATTTAAAGTATAATTTCTGCTTTGTAGTATTACTGTAGTAAGATTTCTAGAGTCTCATAAAATACATAACAGGAATTTTTTTATAGTCTTTGATTGAAGTTCCACCTGTTAAATAAACAACAGTACTCACTGTTGCATATATACCAAAATTTTATACCAATATGTCTATACAAAATGGGACTGAGACTAAAAACACAGCTTTAAGGACAAGTAGGGTAATGAATTTGGCACAATTACAATCTAGAACAAAAAAAATTACCAAAGAACAAGGTAACAATCCTTGTCTTGAATTACAAATATATAAGCAATGAGAGTTGCTCTGTAGGTAATGATATTACTGCTAAACAGCTGCTTTTTTACCATTTTTCTTCTTCAGCTCATCAGAAACCACTGTGTTGTTTTTACTGTGTGCCCTGATACACCAGAATCAGATGATCAGTAGACAAACAAAACTGACCTTCTCAGTTTAGTTATACACAGAGCAGACAAACAATTGCTTCTTGCTATAGTCATCGCTAATTACAAATGATACAGAAAAAACCAGACTGTAGTTACAAGACAGGAAATAATTGATAATAAATATATGTATATAAAAAACTAAGTCATAACTGTTAAACAAAATTCAGACATAAAAAGCAATCATACATGTAAGAAAGTTTACAAAGAAATATTACAAAATATTATTTTGTAATACAGCTAAGGAGGTATCTTAGGATACCCGTGATGTGTCTTTCAGTATTTTCCACATTGAATCCTACGTAGCTTTTCTGTTCTCTCTGATGAGCAATTCACTCACTACTGTTTCTCCTTCCTGTTTTTTTCCCTGGATGAATTGTGTAGTACACGATTATACATTTTGGGAAATATTTTTACGAAGTAGGTATTGCATATAAAATTCTTTACAACGATATTTCCTCTTAGCCATTTTTCTTAAAAATTTTGAGACCAGCAAGTGCTTCCTTGTATATACCCTATGTATAATTAGCTCTTTTCTTTTTAAAGCTTTTGATTTGACTTTGTTTAGGCTTTTTCTGTAAACTATCTGAGGAATTCATGAGTTAGTATTCAAGGGATCATTTTAAAGTGATGTTTCTAAAGTGAAGTACCATTAAAGGATGGAAAGGTATCTGCCACCATCACCATAGCTGAAAGACTGTTGGGTTTAGAATACTGCAATAAACCTGCAGGTTTGTTCATGCATTCATACCTCTGGAAGACTGGAAGGAGCAGTGATCATTTTGTCTTTGGATGATTTCCTGAATTGCTCCAACTAAGCTCTTAGCTATAAAGTTCAGGCTATAAGTCTTATGAGGTGGGGCTTTTCTTCAAGAAAGTCTTGGGTTTGGATAAGTAGATTTATGCTATAGCACTCTTTTTTTTTGATATTTGAAACTTATACATTCAGTCCCAGCCAAAATAGTACTTACAAGATCATCTGTGTTATTTCTTTTAAGGAAAAAAAATTAAATCAAGTTTATTTTGATTATTTGTTTATCATATTCATATTACTGAGGTGCAGTATGAAATTTGGTTAAAGATCCAGATTTGTTTTACCTCTAGTAATTCATAATTAAAATTTTATTCTGCATTTACTAGTTTACTTGAGAATCAAGATTGTTCTTGTTTCATTTCTGACTGATTTTTTTTCAGTCTTTACTTCAAATTAATGATTTTTAATTCCATGGACTGAATTATTTTTGCCTTTTTCATGTAGAACTGCTATCAAATTCTGCCCTTTAGGAACGCAGAAAGTAGAACTTTCCATATTGGCAGAGAGAGGGATGACCTGCTTGAGCGGGGAGGTTGGACCGCATGACCCACTGTGGTCCCTTCCAACTATTGTGCCTTGGCACAATACTAAATGTTTATGCTAAACTTTGTTACATATTCAAAAAACTTTAAAAAAAAAATCCAGATGCATTATTGTAGTTAGTATGTAGGATTAAAA